TTTTATTGTTTTTGTTTGTTTAAGCTTCTAATTAAACAATATCTGTCGCTGCAATTGGCTGATATTAACTAAAAATGAAAAATAACTGGTTTCCTTGTCCGAAAAAGAAAGTTTATCAAATCTTGAGTTTTCTCATTTTTGATTTAATAGTTTGAGAAGTCTCAGAATTAATTTTATCTTTATATTATGTCCAAAAATCCAATCATCTTAATCAGTATTTTGATAATTACGTTTATAAGAGACGTTGGGAGTGTACCTGTTTGAATGTATAGAGGATTTCATTTTTGAGGAAAGTGGTAATTACGGATTCTTGATTTTGTATCATTTGATTCAAAGAAACATAATTTTATCGTTGCCTTCAAAATTATATCTGTGTAGTGTTCTAATGAGAAAAGCAAATTCAATATAGGATTTTACATGATAGTACAATTCTCTGTTATCCTTGGACTTTCAGTAAGGCGTGGCATTCTCGACGCTACATAATCAATGTCTCTAAAATGGTGACCTAGATTCTCAATGGTTGCTAGCTCATCAATATTCATAACACAAACAATAGAATGATGTCAGATCAAATCATTTTTATATTATTTCATACAAGTAGAGAAAATAAAACACGAAACTATGGAGTGTTGATCATTTCTTTCCGCTTGTTGTCTAGTTCGCAAACATATGCATGAGTCGGAGTGACATTTTACAAAAAAAATTAAGCGGTTTTGTTTTTTGTTTTTTTATGTTTAACGTCCCTCTTGAGCATTTTTCACTCATATGGAGAAGACACCATTTGCCGGTGGAGAGCTGCAAATTTTGACCTATACCGGTAATTGGGTTTTTTGGTAGCAAATGGCAATAAACAGTTCCTCGCGAGGGAAACTTTCACTTGAAACATTAGAATCCTGCATTGCAGGTGTAAACTTGAATGGTCAATACATACTTTCCAATACGTAGGTTGCATAGAAGTCAGGCCCGTACGTAGCAACGCTTTTTAAAATAAAGGGGGAGCTTAAAAATGAGAGAGAGAGAAAGAGAGAGAATGAAACTGCATAAACTGCCCCAAGTCGAGCTACTTTAGCATCGATTAAGAGGGGATCTATAGCCTCCAACACTATATGAAATACCCTCGAAGTTAATATTTTAATATCTCTACAGTAGAAATATAACTTAGTTGAATTTTTTATGATTTTTCAAGAGAGGCCACCGTCGTGTAGATCTACGTGATGATTTCCAATGAAAGACTTCCTATCCATACTGCATACACATGCATAAATACCCCCTACCCCCACTTTACACTATTTTAACTACAGGCTAGTGTGTGGTCTGATCGCCATTTTTCAAAATTGATTTGAAATCCGGTTAAATTACATAGCACGACAAACTGAAATTTACACAGCTTTTCATTCACTGTTGAAATATACATGGGATAGAAATTTAGGCAAATGTCAACGAGTGTAGCAAGGAACCAATGACAGCATTTCGTACTGCAAAGAGGTGGGGCTTAGGTCATCTCATCGTTGTCAACAACAATCTAAAGTTGCTGATGTTATTAATTTCTTAACCAATGAGAATCTAGGTCGCCATTTGAGAGACGCTAATTATGTTGCGTCGAGAATTCCACGCCTTACTGAAAGTCCAAGGATAACAGATAATTGTACTATATGAAAATATCAATATTATCAAAGCAAAATGTTATTACTTGTTCACTGCGATTAATAACATTTACGACCTGGGGCTCTATGTGTACTTATAATATATTTTTCTGCAAACTTTCAGTGCTCACGATAATAATCCTATTTCTTTATCATGTTTATCAAAAGACGATTGCTCTTCCCTACAGCCCCTTAAATCTCCTCTAAAGTGCATGACAACTAATACATTTGCATTCGCTTAACATAATCACGCTCGATATCTTCGTTTATGCTTGTGCTTCCACATTGTCTATGCTTGTGAAAGTGAAACAGAAATTGAAGGTAAAATTTGATAAAATTTAATTTAAATGGTTGGAAAAGTACAATTCAAAATGGTCGCTGAAATAGACTTTTTTCCCAATGTAGATTAAAGCTTCAGTGTAGAATTAATTCATAGAAATATGTTTGGTGAAAAAAAAATTATTGTTTACACTATAATTCTTGTATAAAGACATCATGGTTAAGGGTTCCGTTATATTCAATGAACACGCAACATATGACATTGTAATGAGAAATGACGTCAATTCATTGCAAGCTTGTGCTGTCAAAACTTGAAGAACACCTTATTTCAGATTGCATATAAAATGTTATTCAAAATGTATATGTGTTAATCGTATAATATTTCCAAATATTTTTCCTTAAGATTCTTTGAAAATTAGAAAAGGTTCATGCTCTCATGAACTACAGTGGGATGAGGAAGAATATTTCCATTGTGATGTGACTGAAGTAAAAAAAATAGTGCAACATTTTTTATTAAAAAATTATCGTTGAATGACAAAAATATGTGGCAAGTCATCAGAAAAAATAATGTAAAATGTAAGATATGAATTTAATTTTTGAGAATTCATGAGGTACATGAACTACAACGCTTCACGCCTGCATATTTATCATATATGCAGGCGTGAAGCGTCGTAGTTCATGTCCTTGAATTCATCTTAAGCAGTTAGATTTAACACTAAACGTTTTAATTTTTACGCAATCGGATATTTCATCAAAGCGCTTCATATGATCTGATTACCAAATAGCCATCGCAATATCTCGGACCTTTCTTATCTTTGACATCCAAATGTCCAAAATGATCGCTATTCTTGAATTTAAGGGGGGGGGGGGGCTGCATGATCTAAAATCTTATATATATATATACTGCGACTGCAATTTATAGTAATAGGGTTTTTGTTGATTAATTATTTTTATAAACAATCATACACATATGACTTCAACGCTTTAATATTTATGGAAATCTGAGAATGGAAATAAAAACAAAAGAAATTAGAAAACTTATAAAATGTTAAATCTACATCATCATTTTCTCTGACTTCATAATGATAATAATTATTATCACAGTCATTATTATTATTATATGCTTTTTTTAGGGAATGAAGGGCCTATTCAGCTAAACAATTTTTTTTCATATTTTGTTTTTACTGCATGATTAAGCATGTCTAACCTTTTATAAAGCAGCTTTCTGAAAGCTACTTTATAAAAGACAAGGCATAATTCTTACTAAACGAAAGATGTTGAATTAAAAAATATCTTACCCTGTAATGTCTATATGGAGTTTTGATTCTTCATGTTTATGAGCATTATTCTGTCCACAGTGGGAATTTTCAAACACAAATAAAAAATTGTAAGTGCACAAGAATCCATGTGGACAAGGAAAATTGTTACTTTTCACAAATTTAACGTCAAAAAGATGATAAAAACGCTTCGTGTTAAAATTTTTCGAGTACTTGAAAACTAAGTTGAATAAAAAGTTAATGTATAAAATCCCCTCTCCCTCCCTCAAAAAAAGGGTCCCTGTTTCACAAAATACCTCAAAATGCGTTGATTTGACGGGTTTTTAAGGTATAGTACCGCCCATATGATCGCCGAGGATGATTTGCTATTTCATCAGATCGTGTATGACGTCACTGATTTATTGAATGTGTAATCTAGGGCTACGGAGGAGTGGACCGATTTATTTTATTATTTGTTAATATTGACAGGATCTGCACAAGTACTGATGAATTAGATAACGTTTGCACCTATGTTATCAGAGACTATAATGTAATGTAGTTAAAATAACTGAGTCACCTGACCATGCGTTCTTCCTAACCTTAAAAGAAAACCTATCTTCTGAAATTGATTTCTCTTCAATGAACCAAACCATTAAGTAGAGTATCACGATTTTTTCTATGAAATGATGTTATGTATATCAATTCTTATTTTGAATGTCTAGTTTTGTTTTCATTTTTGTATTATTTTACAACTTACAAAGTTTGGTTACACACATTATCAAATGCATAGCTTGTAAATTACTAACTTTTTACCTGCACCGTGATCACAGTTTTCACAATTTTAAATAAGTTTGAATTATATCATGAAATATTTGATATTTAAAATTCAAGCCATTCGAATTTATTACTCAAACATGACTTCTACCAAATTTGGATATCATATGCATCTGAAGAAAAAAGTCATGACAGAAGTAGTACTCGTGGGCTATAACTTACTAAATCAAAGCAAATGCTTTCGAATTTTTATAATATCTTTGTTATCTTTGAGAATTTTCCTGAACGGATAATACCATCTCTGAACATTACAAACACAGAACACTACCTTCAGCAATAGTATCATGTTGACTAGAAACAATATATTAACTAGGAGAGGTCTTCGTCATTTTTAAACGTAGACTTGGTATTGTCTATAGTTTCAAAGAAACTGACTATGCATGAAAAAGTTCCTTTAATCAAGTAGAAAAAATCATTAGAGTGGAGTAAAATCCCAGATGTATCCATTTAATTTTTTCAAGTAAGTAACTTATCTCCTAAATATCGATTGAAAAATAATTTCAAATAAGCAGCAAAATAGTTTTACGTAATCAAGAAATATATTTTTGGTAACTCAAGAGGATATTATATCAGCACGTTAGCGTTTCATGAAAAATTTGCAGGTGTGAAGTTTTGTAGTTACTGTACCCCATGTACTAACAAAAATTCATTACTCATATACATGGTACAAAGAGAATTTTAACGCTTCATCTTTAACATCGTGGTATTTTGACACAAATGCACCCAATTAATGTCGGAATTTTTTTTCAAACGAAACATCAGTCATTTTTAACGACCCATTTCTATACAATTGACATTTAATGAACTTAGTTTAAACAAGTTTCCCTAAAGATCTAGATATATCATTCTGCTACGAAGTTAAGAGGCCTAGTGTTTTAAAGATATATATTTACAAGTTGTTCAAAGAAAAAGATAAGTCAAGTTTATGATTAAATCTTATGCATAAAATGTATTTATTATTTTCTGATATTATATTGAATAAACTTACATGAATAAACGATAATTACAAAATATTCCAGTCACAACTTATTGCACAACATTTAGGCACGAAGCCATGTGTATGTATCAAAATTTATAAATAGAAAGATATCTATTTTTAAAACGCTTGATTTCCGAAGTTTTATTTTTAGAGACAGCAAATGTACTACGAAAACGTAATCAAGTCATTCAAGTTTGTATCGCAGAAATCTTTGGAAGAAAATACTTTAATAAAATTTAACGATAGATATCACCGGTACTTAATAGGAAAAGTAGATTCATGTACGTGTCTTGTATTTCAACTAACAATTTGTACAGCAGGCGAATATAGCCGTTTCGTGATATATAAGAGTACAAGATAATCAGTCACTTCTGCATTCTATAGCAAGACAGTTTCTGGAAAAGATTATTATCTCTTTAAAAAATTGACACGTACCTTAAGATTGACGGCAATTTCGTTATCCAATATTTAGGATGAACAATACATAAAAGATATACATTCCTTACTTAGTTTCCCGCCATTGAGAAATGGGCGTATCGGTGTATCATGTGGTTTATATGCTAATGGTTAACATAACATTTAATAAAGCCTGAAATGCATGATTTTCCAAGTTTTATCTTTAGAAACAACCATAAAAGGTGATTTTAGAATGCCGCTTTTCTTTTAGTTAGATTTTATTCAACACATTTGCATAAACATTACCCCAATCATTGTAGGTTTTCCGCTCAATTTTCTTACCCTATAAGAATAAAATAGCATATACTAATAATTATAAGATTAAAAAACAAACGTTAATTTCCGAACAATTTCTTGTCCAAACTTTAGTAGGAAAAAAAGCACATTTGATTACTAAAATTCTTTTCGAACTCTTGTGCTTTACTCTGACATCGAATTTGCATTTCAGTTTTGATTTATACCTTGGCCTGACAATTAGTATGAAAAACGTCAGCCAGTTTTCTGACAAAGTCATTGTATCGACCATAAAACTTGAGAAATGATGTCCTTTAACGAGACTGTTGATATCCTTCTTTCATCAACTTGTTTGTCATAGCCCCGTTTTTAGAAATTGTTTGAACGTGGATCATAATTTTGCGTATCAAATCAAATGGAAGATATATAAACCCAATATGCAGGTGATGAGGGTCTATTGCTACATAAAAGAGGGAAGTTGACGATGAAAAAGTAGAAGTCATCACGTTTATCATAAAGTTCTGTTGTAAGGTTACCATTAAAATCGTTTTCTAGTGAAATAACCAAATATGAAACAGATGTGTCAGTCTCAGTAGTATCTTTTATTTCAAGTTCGCTTGGATATATCTAGGCGACAAAAGAATGGAAGTAACTTTTGTATAAATAGTATAATACGTCGTTGATATATCTAAATGTCGAGTTGTAGGCCATATCAAGTGTCTTTTTCTTCTCATGTAGATGTTTTTGAATAAATTCTGGATGATATCAATATAAAAATAAGTCTGCCAATAAAGAGTTTCTCCTTCACTGCTGTTTAAATTTAGTGAGAATTAAAGAAAGGAGCCACGTAGAACATTTACTGGAACTCAGTTCTATTCATGTGAAAATATACCATGTCTGTTCTGGGTTACGGTAGAAACAATCAACTTTTTTTATATCTAGGGGAGGATGCTTTTGTATGACAATTTCAAGAATTAAATGAAAGAAAATTTGAAAGGTAAGGTTTTTTACGGTTCTCCATTAATGTCATATTTTAATCATTGAATCAGATTTGACATACTATCTATCTGTATAGTTTTAATTTGATGTGAGGTTAAACATTTATTGTAATTCAGTAGCATCGCATGGAATGTATGCTTTTTGATGAATAATTCGACAGTGACAGGCCTTTTTGTTTTTGTTTGTCGGTTTACATTTATATATGGATATAAAAATATGAGTTTTGATGTGGAAAGAATTGACTTTCATTGTACACACGTTTGGATTATTTCATCAACAATCTAAATGATTATAATTATGTGGAAATTCTATTCGTGTACACACGTTTGGATCATTTCATTCACAATCTTAATGAATAAAATTTTGTTGAAATTGTATGATTCTAATAATGTTTTTAGGAATAGTACTACACTCAAAACGATGTCTGATGAACATGTTTTAAATATTTGTAATTTACTGTGCGTTCCACGTGTGACGGGTGTCCTCCTGTCACTGGCACTGATTAATAATTACGATTTTTTTTTTTTTTACATAGTTTATTTACATATTTACAACACACGCAATATAATTATCGTAATACACAAAGTTCACAGTTATAAGATACATCCACTCTCATTGACTTCCAAACTCATTTTCTACTCTTTTCTCACATGTTCTCCAGGCATGGCCATACCAAATCTCTTCCTCCCCAGTTTCTCACACAAATCATCCTAATGCTCACTTTCATCTCTCAGAACTCTATCAAACATAATAAACAAACGACAACAGAACTGACATACTAACAAATTATAAATTCATGCTTGCTCAACTCTCTTTCTCTCTAACCAGATAAAATGACACCCCTGGGAATCAGGGCTACAACGCCTGCGTCGTGCACCTGCAACATTATCAGACCTTCTAACTCTCTCATTTATTAACATTTAACTAACTTGGGGGATAGCTCTGTGACATACCTCCCCTCCTAAGTGTGGCGTCTTGACACACTTATATAATTAGTATACTGATAATGACAATTTGATACTGTTTACATAATTATCTGTCTATACCAGAATCACACATTCATAGTAACTGAAGATATTGACCTTATTACACACATACACACAGAGATAATAAAATAGAGTAACATGCATACACATTTTATGTTTTACATTTTTCTTTTGATTTTCAAGTTTTATCTTTACATTTTTTTTTATAAATGTTTATTTTAGAATATTAGATATACACAATCTACGTATATACACTGAAAGTAGTAATTTCTTTGACTGAATGAAATCTTGCACAATTCTAAAGTCTTTGATTTCCTTTTCACTCAGCCACTGGGTATGTCCATTCTCGAACGGCACAAAATAATGTTTTTCTAACCGTTTTGACTGCTTTTTCGATCGCATCATATCCAGTGCTTTGACAATTAGACCTTCATCGTTGACTGTTTCATCTTTGTATTCTACGTCCTATAAGGCCTCAAGCGAAGAGGTTTACTGGTCCCCTGTATCTACTGAATGTTGAACTAGATCTGTCCTCTCTAATTTATTAATCACTGAAAGCAAACAATTTTCTAAAATTCTCTAGTACCTTAGTAATAGACGTGTTCTGTTTCCTCTAAATCACCCAATGAACAGAAATCATTAATATCTTTCTCATTAGACTCAACACACTTATCTCAATACCATTCAAACTTTCTTTGTGACATGCATCTTGCACACTCTTACTGACTGAACTTGAATCAGGACTAAGTGAAATACACTCACCATTCATATACAAAGAATCATTTGCAACATCAATAAAGCATACACAGTCTTCCAGAAATCCAAACCTAAGATACAATTATACAAAAAATCCCGAGCAACGAATGCGTAATACACAAAATCAGTTTTTTCATCAATTCTTATCCTAAAGTCGCATTTTCCAATTATGTTGACACGGCCGCCCGTTGCCAATGTGATACTAACTCTCCCAGCCGGTACCATAATACCCTGGTCTGCGAATTCAACACGGTTGCCCGTTGCTGACAAAATAGTCACTCCCTAAGCCGGTTTCGTTACGTCTCCACGCACGAATTCTTCACCGATAATCGTTCCACTGGATCCGTTATCAACCAACATGAATAGGTACCATTTGACTCTTTACACTTCCTCCAATTTTGGCGAAACAAAATTGCGGATTTAAATGACAATCTCTTCCTTCAATTTTGGCGAAACAAAACTGAGGATTTAAGTGACAATCACTCCCTCCTATTTTGGCGGTACAAACTTTAGGATTCAATTGACATGACACAATATTTTCACATACATATTTCACAATTTCGACACTTTTTCCACTATTCCCGGAGGAATTTTCTTCCTTTATTTTACGCGACCGGCTCTCTCTAGGAGGGTATTTGAACTCCGCTGATCCTTTACCTCCACACAAAAGGGCGGACTTTAATTTCCCGAATTAGTGTTTCTTTGCTCGTTACATCGGATCGCTATGTGTCCTACTTTTCGACAGTTGTTACAGATCGGTCTTCCGTCGGTAGTTCTTAAGGTATCGGTCTGGTCTTGGACGGAATCCACGGCCTCTTCCTCGAAGGTTTTGTCCCCGAGTCGGCAGAACGTATTGTCGCTTAGAGGTAAAGCGTCCTATCTCGGTAGCCATCACCGACACTTTAGCTGTGAGTTCTGCAAGGAACTTTTCCAGCTCCTCTGTTCTTGTAGAGCTGCACGACGTAGATGCCACCTTTGTTCTGGCCATCGGGGCATCCACCAGGAAGTTGTTACACTCCTTTCTCTTTGCATGTCTGAAAGCTTCCTCGAATATTTTAGGATCGGAAAGTAAAACATACCTCTTGATTTCAGGCTTTAACCCTTGAACGAAATGTTCCTTAGTGAGGGTTTCTTTTTGCCGTCCAGGCATGTCAATGTACGCACGTGTAGCGAGCTTTGTTATGTTTGTCGCATAATCCTCTACAGTTTGCGTCTCTGCCTGTTTGTATCCAAACAAGTTAGAATAATACAATGATAGAAGTTCTTTAGGAATAAATCTTTCTCGCAGAGCATCACAAACGGAGCGATAGTCATCTTTGACATCATCGTCTAAGGATTCGTAGTAATCCGCTGCCTGGTAACGAAGGAATGCAGGTATTGTTATGCATTTCCTTTCATCAGTCCAAAAATTAGCTCTAGATATTCGATCAAAGTTTTTTTATCCAGGAGTCAAAATCCTCTTCAAGTTAAAATCAGGTAGAAACAAAGCAACTACTATAATTTAAACTTGAATACGCAAAAAAAAAAACATACCAAAAAAAAAAAAAAAAAAAATACAACCCCCCCCCCCCAGAAATTATGTCAAAGTTCCTACCATAG